ATAGTTTTTACTACAATACTAAATAATCTAAATAGTGAATTAACAAGAAAATACTAAAAGTGGAAAGAAATCTACCACAGGTTATAAATGCGTTATCTTATATTAATCTCAAAATAACAAATCTGCTTTTATTGACTCTTATGATTTTTAATGCCAAAGTAACTACAAAGAAGGCTAAAAAAATAATAGAGTAGATTTATAAATACATTAATAAAGCATTAGACTATTAATTTATATCTCCATAGGAAGAATTATAAAAATTGTAAATGTTATAATTACTCATAACTTATATTCTCATATTCTTTTTATTTGTAGTTTATAATAATCCCAAAATTCCAATCACTTATTAAAGTTTAAATGAATATTATTAGTGAGTATATATTGGTAAAAAAATAAAAGGAATTTAAATATAGAAAGAGGCATAGAAATAATTTTCAATAAAATTTATTTATTAGCTACTAATGTTATCAGCTATTTTTTAGCAGTCTACTTAACCTATCTCTTCATATTCTGCTAAACAATCACACGTATTTGAAGTTTAATTTAAAAATCTTGTATTAGAAATGCAAGAAGTGCATGAATTTACAGAATTTGGCTTTGAGCATTAAGAACAAGTATAATAGCAAGGAATGTCTTAATTAAACATCACACAAGATGTGTTATTATTGCATAATTAACAATATTGGGGACACATTAAACTACAATTGTTATTTGAATCTGCGTATTTTCCACTTTTAAAAATTATTTAAAATAATAAATTATCAAAAATATAAAAGAAAGCTAATTAAAAAATAGAAGATATTAAGTTGTCAATAATTAATATTAGAATATTGATTAAATTACTATTTAAAAAATAACATAATGTATAATTTATATTTGTTAAAATAAAATAGATATTAAAATTTCATTTTTAAGATAATTTAAGTTTGGTGCTCACAACTCACAAAATTTTTATTGTAGTTTTATTTAATTTTTATTAAATATAAAATTTATACATGAATATCGATCGTTTCTTGAGCTTTTAAAACCAAGAAAATTATTATTTTTTTAAAAAAATTAAAACTTAATTTTAATGTGAAAAAAAAAATTACTTTCCACAGTACTAGCATACTCCATTATTTCTTAAAAATCCTTATAAACATTCCAAACATGCTGGTTAAGATTAATTGGCTTTTTAACAATTCTTTAATTCTACGCATTTACTTAAAAAACTGCTAAAATAGAAAGATTAATTCAAACAAATGCATTAATTTTGACTTAAATACATATCTTATTAACATTATGAGCAAGATGAACTATTTTCAGCACAGTTTAAGCAACCTTAAACTTCACAAGCTACACAAAGTCCATTTTTTAGTCCAGTAGTTTGCTTGCATTAGCATTAAGAATTAATGCTTTCCATGCCTATTGGGCATTATGTGCACTTATCATAAATATCACAAAAAAATTGGCAGCTAGATTAACAGTCTTTACATTAATAATAATAATTATCAATCTATTAGCACTGAGTGTTGTTCTATTAATGGCTATAACAAAAATTTTTATAAAAAAAAGGGTAGTTTTGCTAACAACTTTAACAAGTAAGAGCATCCTAGCATAATTAACATTCTTCAGAACATTTTTTACATATATTTATATTTATTTATGGATCTTATGCTACAAAAAATCCATCTGGACATTATGAAACACATTAATTATTATAATTAATATGCTAGATTTAATGACTGAGCAAGCAATTTTTCATTTAAAATTATAAAGATTAGCCTCCTATTGCATATATATAAGAAACATACCATGTCCAATAATTAAAACTATTAGTCTATTAGTCAAAAGTAACTAACATTCTAACCCCATCACATTTCCAATTGCATACAGTAAATTAGTTTATTCCAATTAAAGTATTAGAGCTTGTGAACACAGGTTGCCAAGAGCGATGTAAATCTGAATTAAATTAGAGCTATTGATCTTTGAAATATTGTAGATTAAAATAGCTTTGCTAGTAATTGCTTGGGAAGTAAATATAATTAAAATTTATTTCTTTAATATCTGCTGTAGATTAGGTAAAAAATTGAAAAGAAAATCCATATTAATTAGTAGTTACTTAATCCAAAAATAAACTTAAATTTGTATTTTGATTAGAAACATACCCTGTTAAGAAAGCAACAGCATTCATTTCTATATTAAAATGAGGAGGAAGATCTGTATGTAAAAGATAGTTATTTGCATCAAATTAAGGATTTTTAATTTATACTTATTAGACATACACGTCCTCTAAACAAATTTCAGCCACTTAAAATTTAATCTCATTTTCATTTGTTATACTAAAAGTAACCTAGCTTCCACTCTATGTCTTACTAACATTAAACTTATTTGGATTGTGATAAAAGTGATCAATAAATGAAATGCTTATCAAATAATTCTTTTAGAAAAGACAATTATTTATTTATTAATTTATAACAGCACTTGTATTAGAATTTGTGAGGTCAAAATTTTAAATAGTAACATTTTAGTTAGGTATATTTATATAATAAGGTTAAGCAAAGCATATACTAAAAATTGAGTGATAGATTATAAAGCATATAATCTATTATTAAATCATTTCTATTTATTTTTTGAATGAATTAGTTTACTTTTTATCTGAATTAAAAGAAGTATATTAATTATTATTTATATATTTTTATAATAAAAAATATCATAAAAATAATTAAACATAGATCAATTTTTTAAAATAGAGCTGCGCAATCATCAGAAATAGCTCTATTTTTATAAAGATTAGATAAAAATTAGGTAATTTAAATGTGATGATTATGACGAATTTAATTTAATGTAAATAATAATTTTTTATCAGAACCTTTCTAATTTTTAAATTATTGAATTTTTTATAGAGCTTGATAATAAAATCACATCTTTTCATAATTAATTTTTTTTTATCAATTAATATTTTTAAATATAAAGAGGATATTCTATTTTAAAACTAAAATAAATGCGAAACATAAAATAAATACTAATATTTATATTTTTTGTTTGAAAAAAATTTTTTTCTAAAAGTGTAAAAATCAAAAATAATTAGTTTTAATTTATATTATTAGTATATGACGACTTTTATGCAATATGATTGATTTTTAAAAATTTAGTTACATAAATTTACAAAAGAAGATGAATCATACATATTCTTATGAATAATTCAATAATTTTAACTATTGAAATATGAATATGCCATAAAAAATATAGTTGTGATTTGTTTGGATGAAACTATAATTTAAATTGACATATTTTTAACCACAACAAATAAATTATAATAGATTTATTAATGATGATTTTCCTATTAATCTATAAATTTGGTTTTTCATTTTAGTTTTTAAAGTGAAATTTTCAAAGTTAGGGTAGGGGCAAATTTTTTATTTTCAATTAATTTTTAAAGATTAAACGAACTATTTCACAATTCATCCTAATTTAAAAGACTGTAGTCTTAAAATTAATATATAAAAAATTCCGCCTCTCTATAAAAATAATTTGGAAGCAAAAAAATTTCAGTAAAAAATTGTATTTATTTAATTGAGAAAATTATTAAGATTATAAAACTAAAAATATATTAATTTGCATTTATAAATTTCCTTTATTATTTTTGATATATTTAGCTTAATATACAGTAAGGATGACATTCTCAACTTATGAAACATTTACTTTTGTTTTATTAAAGCGATAGTATATTTATAATGATTTTACAAAATTATTTCAATTACAAAGCAAACAAACAACCAATCATAATTTAAATAAAGAAGACTATTATATTTTAAACACAGTTTTGAAGAATAATTTTACATTAAATAGTGTACAAAAAAAATAATTATTATGTTTATTACTTTTAATAATTTGGTTTCTAAACATAAAAGCAAGGAAGCAATTGAAGTTCATTTCAATTTTTACTAATTATTTTTATATCTTGAATATATTTTTTTATCTTAAATTATTTTATTTAATTTAAAGAGGAAAAATTAGTTTTAATATAACTTATTTTTTTTAAAAAGAAAGTATTTGTTTATTTTTTTTTTTTTTTTACATATTTTTATTTTATACTTTAAAATAATTTTTATTTATTTTTCGAATTTTTATTAAGAAAAATCAATAATTTTTAATGCTTTTGTGATTCAACTTCATCTTTGTACATTTATTAATTCCCCTATTAAATATTAAATTCAAATTAAGAAGAAGAAAAAAATTAATAAATTTTTAAACCACTTTAATTTAAAGCTCTTATTAAAATTTATTTTATTTAAATAAAAAGTATTTTACAAAAGTTATGAACTAAATTATTTAAAATCAATGAAAGTTGAATTTTTTAAAGTTTATATCTTTTTTTTAATAGGTGGTGAAATAAATAAAATACTTACTCATTAATTTCTTTAAGCTTAATCAGATTTTTCATTCTCCTTGCAAATAGCTAGGTATTTCCTTTCTTTTATTTTAGGACCGTTTTTTAGATATATTTACTTTGAGAATAATATGAATCCAGCTAAGCTTCAGTGATAGAAGGTAATGAAGAGTCTCCACTTCCAGAATCATCCAAATTATTGTTATTATTTTTCATGTTTTTTAAATTTTAACTGTTACTTTTTTCAATCAAGATTTCTTCATTTTGGTTGTGACCTTATATTTGATAATAGCTTTGTTTGTTTATTCATATTGGAAGAATTTAAAGAATTAGACTCACTTTTCACTCTATTTTACTTTATTTCTGGAATAGCCAGAGTGCTTACTGATTTATCTCCTTCCGTTTTATAGAATGAATTTTATCTATTACCCATTAAATTAATGATCTAAAACTTTTTAAAAAACTGAAATCTTAAAAATATTAAATTTAAAAAAAGAACTAATTTCTAAAAAAATATTAATCAAGGGTCTGTGTTAAAATAAAGGGATTTATGGTGTTAAAATAAATAATAAAATATAGAAATTAATTGATTATAGATTTTTAGAATATAAAAATATAAAAACAAATATCATAAATTTTTATTTATTCTGGATAAATATTATTTCTTACTGAGAGTCTGGCTTAGTATTTAGTTTATATTACCTTATATTTGTTTAAAAAGTATTTTTAAAATCAATATTTTAAATAAAAATATATTTTTATTTTAAATTAAATTAAGGTTTTAAATTTACTTTCATTTAATTCTATTGGGAATTCAGGTATTTCAGACTTTGAAAAATTCTTACTATTTTAATTAGAGTATAATTTTATTATTTATTATATTAATCTATAATATGTGTAAACCGATAGTAATATATTTATTGACTGCCATATAATTAATAGTGAGATATTCAGTATATCTAAAATAGTTAACTTTGGGTAAATTGATATACTTTATTACTATTGAGGCTATTGAAGTAATGTTAAAACTGTGTTTAGTATTAAAATAATTAAGAATTTTATCTCAGCAGATACTACAAAAATATGATGGCTACTAATGCTAAAGTATCTATAGTAGAGATGAAGTATCAAAAACAAAATACTAATTCCAAATACAGAAACAAATCCTATATAGCTATTTTTAAAGTAGTTTAGCAGAAAAATAGTAGCAATTTATCGAAGCTCCAGAAATATCCAAATTAAAGTTCTTAATGATTATTTTTAACAGATATTCATGGTTAATATTTAAAATTTAAATTTAGCTTCAATCTATTCTTAAATAAAATCTTCACTAGTACCAAATACAACCTGCCTTTCTTTCTTCCAGATTTAGTAAACTACTATTAAAATATTTATCAAATAAAACAAGTACATTGTAAGTAAGACTGTCAAAAATACTAAAGTTAGTTTTTACTATTCTATTAAATAATCAAAACAGTGAATTAACAAGAAAATACTAAAAGTGGAAAGAAATCTACCACAAGTAATAAATGAATTATCTTATATTAATCTCAAAATAGTAAATTTGCTTTTATTGACTCTTGTGATTTTTAATACCAAAGTAACTAAAAAGAAGGCTAAATAAATAATAGAGTAGATTTCTAAATACATTAGTAAAGTATTTGACTATTAGCTTATTTCTCCATAGGAAAAATTATAAAAATTGTAAATGTTATAATTACTCATAGCTTATATTCTTAAATTCTTATTATTTGTTGCTTATAATAATCCCAAAATTCCAATTACTTATTAAAGCTTAAATGAATATTATTAGTGAGTATATATTGGTAGAAAAATAAAAGGAATTTAAATATAGAAAGAGGTATAGAAATAGTTTTCAATAAAATTTATTTATTAGCTACTAATATTATCAGCAATTTTTTAGCAGTCTACTTAACCTATTTCTTCATATTCTGCTAAACAATCACATGTATTCGAAGTTTAGTTTAAAAATCTTGTATTAGAAATGCAAGAAGTGCATGAATTTACAGAACCTGGCATTGAGCATTGAGAACAAGTATAGTAGCAAGGAATGTCTTAATAATACTCCACACAAGATGTGCTATTACTGCATAATTAACAATATTAGGGACACTTTAAACTACAATTGTTATTTGAATCTGCATATTTTCCACTTTTAAAAATTATTTAAAAAAATCAATTTAAAAATAGAAGATATTAAACAGCAAATAATTGATATTTGAATATTAATCAATTATTAATTGTAAAATAACATAAATTATTTATTAAATTTATATTATCTAAAATAAAACATATTAAAATTTTATTCAAATTTTAAATGTTAAAATTTATTTTTAATATGAATTAAAAAAAATTACTTTTCACAGTACAAACAAACTCCATCATTTCTTAAAAATCCTTACAAGCAATCCAAACATGCTGGCTAAAATTAGTTGGCCTTTTAACAATTCTTTAATTCTACGCATTAACCTAAAAAACTGCTAAAATAGAAAGATTAGTTCGAACAAAAGCATTAATTTTGACTTAAATACATATCTTATTAACATTATGAGCAAGATGAACTATTTTCAGCACAGTTTAAACAACCTTAAATTTCACAAGCTACACAAATTCCATTTTTTAGTCCAGTAGTTTGCTTGCATTAGCATTTAAAATTAATACTTTCCATGCCTTCTGGGCATTATGTGCACTTATCATTAATATCACAATAAAATGGGCAGTTAGATTAACAGTCTTTGCATTAGTAATATTCATTATCAATCTATTAGCACTGAGTATTGTCCTATTATTACCTATAACAAAAATTTTTATATAAAAAAGGATAGTCTTGTTAACAGCTTAAACAAGTATCAGCATCCTAGCATAGTTAGCATTCTTCAGGACATTTTATGCATATTTTTATATTTATTAATGGGTCTTATGCCATATAAAATTCATCTGGACATTATGGAACACATTAATTATTGTAATTAATTTAATTGATTTAATTACTAAGCTAGCAATTTTACATTTGAAATTATAAAAATTAGCTCCCTATTGCATAAACTTAAGAAGTCCACCATGTCCAATAATAAAAATTATCATTGTATAAAATAACTTACATTCTTACCCCATCACACTAACTTTCATAGCACAAAGAAAATCCATTTATTCCTATTAAAGTACTTGAGTTTGTTAAAATACTTAGATTTGCTTGATGCGTATTTGAATTAAATTAGAGCTATTGATCTTAAAAAGATTGTAGATTAAAATAGTTTTGTAAGTAATTGCTAGGGAAATAGATATAATTAAAATTTATTTCTTAGATATTTACTGTAGACTAGGTAAAAAATTGAAAAGAAAATCCATTTTAATTAGCAATAATTACTTAATCTAAGAATAAACTTATAATTGCATTTTGATTTGAAACATACCCTGTTAAGAAAGCAACAGCTTTCATTTCTATATTAAAATTAGGAGGAAGATCTTAATATAAAAATTATTTATTTTAATCAAATATAGGATTTTTTATTGATACTTATTAGACATACACATCCTCTAAACAAATTTCAGCCACTTAAAATTTTATCTCATTTTCATTTGTTATACTAAAAGTAACCTAGCTTCCACTCTATGTCATACTAACATTAAACTGATTTGGTTAATGATAATGGTGATCAACCATATTAGTGCTTATCAAATAATTCTTTATGAAAGGGCAATTATTTATTTATTAATTCAAAACAACTGTTGTATTTATGTCAATGAGATCAACATTTTAAATTGTTATATTTTAATTAGGCATATTTACATAATAAGTTTAAGCAAAGCAAATTCTAAAAATTGAGTGACAGATTATTAAGCATATAATCTATTATTAAACCATTTCTATTTATTGAATGATTTATTTAATTAGTTTACTTTTTATCTGAATTAAAAAAAAAAATTATTATATATTTATATTTCTATAACAAAAAATATCATAAAAATATTGATAAAGTAAAGTAGTGTAATCGTCAGAAATAGCTCTATTTTTATAAGGATTAGATAAAAATGAAGTAATTAAAATATGAATATGACGTATTTAATTTAATGTAAATAATTATTTTTTATCAGAACCTTTCTATTCTTTAAATTTTTGAATATTTTATTGAACTTAATTTAATTAAAATTGCATCTTTTCATAAGCAATTTTATTTTATTGATTAATATTTATAATTATAAAGATTGTATTCTATTTTAAAACTAAAATTAATACCAAACGTAAAATAAAAGAAATATATATTTGAATTTTTTGTTTATAAAAATCTAGTAATATTTTTTTCTAGTGAAAATAAAAAATAAGCAATTTTAATTTAAGTTATTATTATATGACGACTTTTATGTATTATTGTTAATTAAAAAATTTTAGTTACACAAATTAACAAAAGAAGATGAATCCTATTCTTATAAATAATTCAATAACTTTAATTATTGAAATATGCCAGAAAAAATATAGTTTTTTAATCATTTAGATGTCATTATAGAGAACTTAACATCCATCCGGGA